TTCAAGAACGGAATGGATCATGATGCGTTTAGAAGAGACAATGACCATCTCGCGCTGTTTTCACCTCGATGTACGCTGGTTAGCATGCAGTGGCATTGCAGCGGATGAATTCGTAAATACCGTGCGACGTCGTGCCAAGCAAGCAGGTCTGGATCTACGCCGTGTTCCGGAATATTCCAGTGTCTCTCGTGTTCAGATTCATCCACTGATTGCTTCCGTTTTTCTCCCACTTCCTGTCCAAATCTCCGAATCGTTTGCTAATGTGATGACTGAATCTCTTGAATTTGTGTTGGATGACGAAAGGATTGCAGATAGAAGTGGAATCGGATACGGGCTTGGAATTGAACAGGAATCGACGTCAAGCAAAACGAAAACCCAAGTCCGCGGCCACCGCCGTTCACCGTCGGCCAATGCTCGCATGTTACTAGAGCGCTGGCAACAACGGGGCTATAAGCAATTTATCCATCGTCACGTCCATGTGTTTGTGCGATTGATCCACGATGGTCTCATCTGGATTCCTGGCTATGACTACAATTGCAGGGGAGACGGAGCTGCTAATGTGACTGCGGCCAACGAATTATTTCAAAAAGTCTGTCACACAATTGCATCGCAATGTGGTGAAAACTCTTGCAGTGACGAAGTAGAAGCATGTAGCCGTTAAGAAGCAAAAATACGATAGAGAATAAAGGAACACTAATTTTAAAAGATGGAGTTAAAAATCAGCTTGCAATATGAATGACGTAAGGTCGGGAGTCAGCAGCGACGTCTCAAGAAATCCGTCTACGTGGCATCCGCCTTCTGAATCAGACACAACTACCTTTCGCCACCAGACGTCGCTACCCAAGCTGCCAATTCCCGACTTGGAGGACACATGTCGACGCTTCTTGGCGTCTGTAGAAGCTCTTCAGACTATTGAAGAGCAGCACCAGACAAAGCAAAGTGTCGAGAGATTTTTAGCGACGGATGGCCCACGGCTGCACCAACAATTGCTTGACTATGACAAAGACAAACATTCGTATATTGAAGATTTTTGGTACGAAGCGTATCTGAATCACCGAAGTTCCGTCGTGCTTAATGTTAATCCATTCTTCGTTCTGGAAGACGACCCGACACCTTCACGCAACCACCAGCTTCCGCGTGCCGCGTCACTTGTACTAGGCGCCCTCAAATTCGTCAACGCAGTACGTCGCGGCACGCTTGAGCCCGATATGTGGCGTGGTAATATGGCGCTATGTATGCATCAGTACAAACGCCTTTTCGGCTGTGCGCGTGTTCCTTCTGCTGGCGCTGATAATGTTGAGGTAGACGAGCTATCAAAGCACATCGTCGTAATCTGTCGCAATCAGTTTTATTGGTTTGATGTTATCTGGGAGGACGGGGTTACGGCTATTACGGAGCGAGAATTACTCGCTAATCTCCAAGCAATTCACAAAGATGCGCTTAAGGCAAATGATGTTGACATTGCTTCCAGTGCAGTGGGCGTGCTCACAACAGAACGGCGCGCAAAGTGGGCTGCTCTGCGTACCAAGCTTCAGGCTCAGAACAAAGACACGCTGGCTGTTATAGATCGAGCACTTTTCCTCGTATGTTTAGACACCACATCACCTTCTGACGCAGCAGCTTTTGCCGCCACGGCGTTGCACGGAACCTACAATATTACCAAGGACGGTGTACAAACGGGCACGTGCATGAACCGATGGTATGACAAGCTGCAAATCATCGTGTGTGAAAATGGCGTGGCTGGCTGCAACTTTGAGCACGCCTTCGTCGATGGTCACACTGTGCTTCGCTTCGTATCAGATATGTTTACAGACACAATTATCCGCTTTGCACAGACAATCCGTGCCGGCAATTACGCCTTTTTAGAGGCGTCGTATCGCGCACCGCACTTAAGTCCGCCTGGCATGCTAAAATGCCCGCACGTACAGCCACACAAGCTCGAGTGGGAGCTTGATCGTGAGCTGCAGGAAGGCATCAAATATGCTGAAGCTCAGCTAACAGATTTAATGCTGCAGAATGAAGTAAAAGTGCTTGAATTTACGGCGTTTGGCAAATTATTCATCACCCAGCACAATATGAGCCCGGACGCGTTTGTGCAGATGGCTTTTGTGGCCGCATACTACTTTCAGTACGGCAATGCGCCGTGTATTTACGAGCCCGTATTGACCAAGCGCTTCTTGCACGGACGTACGGAAGCTGCACGTGCTATGACGATCGACGCATTAAAATTCGTCGAGACATTCTTTTCAGAAAAGACACCGCTTGAAAAGATAAGTTCGCTGCGTAAAGCAATCCTTGCACATGTTGCCAATGTACGGGACTGTGCTGCTGGCAAAGGCCCAGAACGCCACCTCTACGCTCTCGAATGTCTCTGGCAGCATGAGAAAGCAATTGACAGCAGTATACCCACTCCAGCATTGTTTGCAGATGATGCGTGGCGTAAGCTTAATCACTCGGTGCTGTCAACAAGTAACTGTGGCAATCCAAGTCTGCGGCTATTTGGCTTCGGTCCTGTCGTGCCTGATGGTTTTGGTATCGGTTATATCATCAAAGACGAGAGTATCCAATTTTGTGCTTCATCTCGACATCGTCAGACTGAGCGCTACCTCAAAAACCTTGAGTTGTATTTGCTTAGGGTGCAAGACCTTCTGATGCACGAAGAAGAAATTCTATTTCCTCATAGCACCGCCGCAAAGAAAACAAGTGCCCAGGCAACGTTTAAAGGCTACGGCTTCTTTGACGACGGCGTTCAGCCTACTGAAACCAAGGCGCTCGCATCTATCAGTGCTGTTGGCAAACCGATCCTGTAGTTGGAAAAGCAGACAGCAGAAATGTATTTTATCGTAGATTAAATGGACGTGATCATACATCAAACGCAAAAATATTGAATCTTGTGGCTCTCGTTAACTTGTGAGTTTTGTCAACTAAAAACACTACCTTCAGCTTTATCCACGATGGACTATATTGAGGCATAGGAGGTAAGATAAAGCCGGCAAAATCCTTGTATGTTCATAGTTCGTATTTGTAGCCAGCTACGAACATGTTGAATTTTATGGTAATTAGACGTTTTCAGAAGTTGAGTCGGTCCGTAATTGGAACGAGACATGAAACTCTTTGTGATAACTAGCTTGACTACATCAAAGTATCGTTAATTGCGTGTAACTACTCAAGCTACTTGGTGTTCACATTGGCAGTGAGTCGCGCAGCTTCGTCAACAATGTCGCGTTCGCATCGTCTGGAAAATGGTTCACCTCAGCATGAAATTGCAAAGGCATCCAATAGCACTGGGTCTCCAACTTTATCCTCTTGGTCAGGTGACAATAGTGGTAAAATTCGGCCAATGCCACCACAACGTAAGAGCGGTAAATTAAACTCGAAGAGGAATACACAGCTACACGACAGTCGCATTCATTTGGAACCACTGCGACCGCAGTCTGGAACATCAAGCGCTGATAGACGCACGAACGCGCACTTTTTGGTCAGTCCATCGTCTGGTCAAGTACACTGGGACTCGACTGTCTTGGAACCGGGCAGCACCATCTCTGAAAACATGGACAAATTGCAAAATGTGGACCGCAAGCTGCAATTTTACAAAACACTGGCAAATTTAAAGCTGCGAGATGGGACCTATTCGGAGCAGTCTCTGCAGAAAACACTCACTTCGCTGCTTTGTGCTGCAGCCACAGCTCTGGATGCCACAGCGGTTGTCTTATATTCCTTGTCGAGCGAGAAAGATCCAGTTGTGAAGGTTCAAGCTTGCTCAATTTCAGGTCCTGACATCGTAGGTTTTCAGACATCATTAGAGACGTTTGCGTTGCGTGGACTCGTCGAGCAGTTTGAATTTAACAACAAACAGACATCCACATGTAGTAATGAGCCTGTTGCCACATATGTTGCTTGTCTACGAAATCTTGGGACGTATGAAATCACTTGCGATGTCGATTTGGTATTGGGTTTGACGACGTCTAGTGTACTTGCTTGTGTATTACCCGATGAAGTTGGGCGTCCACGCTTTGTAATGGAGGCGAGAAGTATTCAAGACGGATTGCCATTCTCCAAAGAGTTTATGCATGCAGCACTGATTGCAGTCGAAAACATCGTGCATCCGTTCGAATTACGACGAGCACTTTCGCGAAATGCTTGCACTCATTCGGTGGTACAAGAAATGGTATGGTACGCATTAGACCCTTCTGACCATGTTTCTGCTGTGAGCCAAGACACGAGTAATAAAGACGAAGGGCTCATTCGAGATAAATTTGAGACCTCAGTGAGCCCGGAAGTGAAATGGATGTCTTCACTTGATACCAAACGTTTAGCTGCGCAAATTATGACAGCGGCACCGATGTTGTCGGGATTTTATCTTTTTGAACTGCTCAATGATAGCTACCAGTGCAAGCTTCTAGTTACTCACGAGATGGGCTTAGACTTGGATCGAAATCAATGCTTTTGTACAGAGATCGAATCTAACAAGCTTTTGTATCAAGAACTGGTAGAAGCTGCACGCTCACATAAATTTTTAAATCTCAGTGACAATGCAAGTTTGAATTCGGCTCTACAAATTGAGACCAACGGCAAGCACTTGCTGACCTTCTTACCTGTGCCGACTTGTCGAAGATCGGCAACCCTCTGCGGTATGCTTTGTCTTGTACCTAGCTCTGTTGAGGTGCTATGGGCAACGAATAAAGCTGATTTGACACTTGAATTGCAGCTTCAACCAATCTTGGCTGCGATAGCATTAACTTTGTCTAATAAGCAGCAATCGGATGATCTCATAGCATCGACACGACAAAAGCAACAATTGTTAGCACTGTGTCGCTCTCATTCGTTATTGGAATCAGTGCGAGACCCGTCTAGTCTCGTATCTTTAATCTGTGACCTCGGTAGTGTCGTTTTTCAGACAAATCACGTGACATTGTACGTATCAGACACAATCAAGCAAGAACTATGGAGTCTTAGCTCTTGGGGGAGTGTTAATGGATTAAGAATTCCGTATGGGCGTGGAATCGCTGGTCACGTTGCAGTAGCAAAGGAGCCCCTGATTATCCAGCGACCGTATGAAGATCCACGCTTTGATCGGTCTGTAGACGCAAAATTTGGCTTCAAAACTGAGTCGCTGATCACTCAGCCCATCTTGGATCGGGCTGGTGAGACAATTGGTGTGCTGCAAGCTATAAATTTTGGGCAATTTTCTGGTGTGAGTCCCTTTGTCGCATGCTACGATGATGAAGTGATGGCTAATTACCTGCAAACAGTGGCCCACGCACTACACATGAACTCTTCATTGATCATTTTTGCTAAGGTAAAGGCTGACCAGTGGGCAAAGCGTACTCTTCAAGAGTCAGTATATGATGATGTTGCGGCAAAGGATGAAAGCAATCATAATAGTTACCACCTTGAGACTGAGAGTGAAACTGGTTTAGATGCCAAACACGAAGTGGCAAGTGTACACTCACTACTGGGTATGAGTGGCTTCGATGAGGGCAAGTGCATCATTTATCGGGACAAATGGAGCACTTTTGCGTATGCTTGCTGGGCGCTTGGCCGCTTTATTTCGTCAAAACCTAGTGTCAAGGCTAGGATACAGCAACGCTCACAACTGGGACACGAACAATCCGAAAAAAGCATGGCAGAGTATGCCGAAAACAACATTCCAGCTCAGATCTTTCTTCGTCCGCGTATTCGTAGTCGCACAGCGTCAGTAGTTCGAGCTAGACGTACTCACTCACTGATCACGCGGTGGCATCGCATGACAATGGGACAAGAAGGATTTGGAAATGTGGAAGAGTTACTTCAGGATCATTTTGATCCTTTGACAAAGTCGATATCTGAGCTAGAAAACTATTCGTATCAACTTTTTGAAGCACTCGTGCTTATCAAAACGTTTCGTATCGATGTCGTCACTCTTCGGATGTTTATTGGTGAGCTTGCTAGCAGATACCGCGATGTGCCTTACCACAATTTCTACCACGGCTTTGATGTAGCGCTAGCCTCATATACACTTATGCGATCGCCTGAAGTGCTGTCTGTAATTAAGGAACTCGAGGCATTAAGTCTTTTAATCGCAGCATTAGGACATGATGCAGATCATCCGGGCAATGACAATCAGTTTGAGGTTGATTCGAGCTCTGATCTCGCACTCTGCTATAACGACATTTCTGTCCTTGAAAACCATCACGCAGCTACAACATTTGCTGCACTTAAAGGTATGTTGTCGAATCTTTGCTGTTCAGTACTATGTTTAACACACGATTTCTGGTGTTCGATAGTACCGGGTTGTGATATTCTCCAAAGTTTAAGCTCTAGCGCTCGCGCATCGGCACGTATGATCATTATTCGTAGTATTCTTGGGACTGACATGAAACATCACACAAAGTTGCTGTCGGAATTGACTGCTGTGAGCTCTATCCACGAGTTTGAAGCTGTACCTGAAGGTCGCCAACTCATGCTTACTATGATCATCCATGGTGCTGATCTACACTCAATCGGACGACCTTTATCACTAGCACTCAAGTGGGTTGAGCGCGTATGTACTGAATTTACACAACAGGCGACACGCTCGGCCGAATCAGGTCTCGATGTGTCTCCCCATTTGCTTAACTTGGAGGATGAAGCCACGCGATGTCGTCTCCAAATGAATTTTATTGACTACCTCGTCGCACCGTTATGGACTTCCATTAGTAACCTCATTCCAGCTGCCAAACATACTTTGGATAACCTGAAGCTCAATCGACTTTACTTTAGTGAGCAAGCTATGCTGCTTAATGCCAAACATTCTGGCTGAATAAATAAGTAGACGTCAGATTGTAATCAGAAAATATCTTAGTAGTAGAAGTAAAGTATTTGCAATACGTTTTGTAGTATGTTGAAATCAGTATATATTTATTGTGTTAAAAGACTAAGATTATCGCTAATATTGTGATATGAGTAGCAAATCTTTTATTTCGATATGGCGGGTATCGAAGCTAAGACACACATGACAGCTTTCCATCAGCGTTGGTATATTGCTCACTTTGAAGTAAATCGCAAACAGAGCAAGTCCTTTGTTCTTGTGCACCGAATCTTTTCACGTTTGGAGCAATGCATTAAATACAATACGGTATAATTGGACGAAATTGACATTACACTTGTAGAAGTCATAAGTACATACTTGATGGTATTCTTACAAGGCTGCTAGCCGGATTTATGGTAAAAGATTGTAAAGCGTATGTATACTGCGTCTGTCAAACTAGCATTGAGTTTAGATATATGTACTCTTTGAAAGCGGAGCGAGCCAGATAACTAGTATCTTCAAGGGCGGGGATGAAGCTAAACAAATTTCTGAGTATTTGTTAGCGTAGATTTTCTTAATCGAAGCTTCTTCTATGCAATTGCACACCCATTGCAGACGGTAACACTTGCAGTCAATCCCGCGATTGAGTCATGAAAAGGCTGAAATCTTTGGAGAATGAAACAAAAATGTTTGAGTCCCTTTTCCACGGGATAAACAAGCTCAAAAGCTCATTTCAATCTTAAGTTTCGATGGGATCCGGCAACTCCGGACATGGCAACGGTCACCATCTTTGTGAAACTATTACTAACATCCAACGAGTCTGAGAATGTCGATACTGAGCCATTCTTAAGCTGACCGTATTGATTACTCATTGCCAAACATTTGTGGAAATGTAGGGGAGTCAGCCGGCCAAGATGGCAATAATACAACACACATTTTGTTGGACTATTACACATATTATGTATTAATTCTTATATATTGATATTTAGCCAAACACCATCATATATTTTGCTTCGATAGCAGCAATTTGATATGCTGAAAAGTTTCATGGAGCTGTGGGTCCTGTAATGCTTGAGCTCAAAATGTTGCTGATGTCGCTTATATGATATGCCACAGGCATAGCAGTACTGGATACTGGGGAACACGACTTTTAAGTTGAGCAGCGTCAGATCTTGGGATCTCAGTCGGTGAAAGTTACAAATCATACCCTTCGTCAAATGCTATGTAAATTGTAACCATTCCGCTAACTCGAATTATATTTGGCAACGGCATGTCAAAATTGTAAGTATTGCCAGCGCAGTCCACCACATAGTGTATGGTTCCTTTCGTAGATTTCTGTGCTGTATGCAGGAAACAGATAAGTACGATGGTTGTCCTCTTTTGCACTATCTACGCAAAATCACCAACCAAATGCTGTCGTAAATGCACGTTGGCTTTCGTTGGACACATCACAGCGTAGTACGGGTATGTATACTAGATATAGACGATACAGCTAGTCAAGTGGTCTCAGCATTAGTTGCAATCGCAACATATTTCTGCACTTCGAGCAGCTGGTCGACGGAGGATTATCAGAATGATCTCGATGCTTGACCATCCAGGCGGTGGCATCTCTACCAGCTTTCCTTGGGTTACAACGATCTGCATCGTGCATCCTCAACGTCAAGATCGAGAGTTTGAGTATGGTACTGTACATGCAGGTACTTTTTGTGTGCGTGGAGCTTCATGACGGTCGCATCCATAGATCAAAGCCGTGGAGTTCTGTCGTAGCATGTGTGCGTGTGTACGATGGCTTTGCCATGCTTGTTGACGAAGCGATTAAGAGCATCTCAAACGAGTTACAAGCTAAGCAATAATCAGTTCCTAGACCGAGTCAGGTCAGAGCTTGATGTATTAGTCTCAGACACCAACACTTCATAGTGAGCTCTGGGCCGAAGAAGATTGGTGGATCAGCAACAGCTGCCTCTGCAGCATCCAAGACTGCGGCTTTCCATTTACAGTAGCAAGTCGTTTGACAGTTTTGATGTCTTTTGCCAAAATGCATTTCTCTTAGTTGTAGCGTAGGATCTGCACATAGCATTCGGGATCTCTCAAGTCATTTAACTTGCTAGTTACAAGATGCATGCAAAAAAAAGTTATCGAATTTTGTACATATTAGATCATCCTCGATATCTACAACAATCAATTATGAAGTGTGCACGATAGATTAACTGGCGCGCCAATTCATGCAGCAAATGTACGAACTCATGCTTAAACTGTACGGCTGGCGCGGATGGACCGCTGCGTATTCGTGACTGCAGAGTGCCTCATTGTTGGGTGACCCGCGTTAATGCGCTCTGTGAACGCCTTAGATTTGTAGATGTGTTTCGTCAAGATGTAATTTACCATGAACTTGATGAGGTCGAGCGGGAGATGCCAAATGATACACCAAAGCCACGCAATAAGTGTATAGCCACCGCCACAGCCAATCACGGCAATACGGTCAGTCGGGAAGCCACCAAAACCAATCCAACCGATCACCGAGGCAACCACTTGGGCGAAAACAAAGGCGATCAGCAACAAATTGCATGGTTTCTCGGCAAAGAACCAGTTGTTGCTACCTGCAGTTCGCGTCACAAAGATTAAAGCCTGACCGGAAATTGATACCTGAAGATACACCAGCGAACGCAGCACACCTTCCTTGCGCTGGCGGCCAGGGCCAACCATTTCATTGTCCCGCGTCCAAGTAGAATTCCAGTTGCTAAATCCCCATATATAAGTACAGAAGCTGACTTCGTTTGTAATGGGGACCTCGTCGTTGCCGATGAATCTCACACCTCTTCCACGCTGAGCAGCATTGAACACGTCGTAGTTACCTCCGTATGCTACACCACCAACGCCCAAAGTGTAGGCGTACACATATTGATTGTATGCAGTCTCGGCCGATGGCTCAGCATCATTTGGCAAATGGCTAAGGTGTACATCTGCAAGGTCTTCAAACAATTTCGAGCGCGACTCGTACTTTGCCTCGTATTGTCTCCAGTATGAGTTAATGGCGCCGTTACGGAATGCACCCACGTCAGGAACGCTGGCTGATTGCTTGACAGTCCCCGTCATTTCACCACATCCAGTGGAATTATTTTCCATCACGCAAGTTTGGTACTGGTCCTCAAAAAAATTGTAGCATTCGTCTTCCATGCAGTCCACACATAAATTCTCCACACCTGTGCTATCAAAACCGCTTGAGTTGTTAACGATTGCAAACAGCACAATTGTCGATAGCGTTAACCATAGACCGAATGCAATCGATGAGATAAACACCTCCTTAAGTTTCCACGAGTCTGGGAATGGAGAAGCCTTGACATTGTCCTTCGAAATAGTAAGGATCGTACCGTCATTCAGAATAGCCAAGATCACAACAAGAATCGGTGGGAAGTACCAATTCCACGCCACCGTCAAAATACCAAATGTGAATACGATACGCACCGTCATGGCAATTGAGTACATGGCATAATTTTTCATACGCAAGAAAATTTCACGACTCATTCGAATAGCCGTGATGATTACACTCAGACCGGGTGAGACAAGTACAATATCGGCAGCAGCTCGAGCAGCATCCGTAGCATCATCCACGGCAATACCAATGTCAGCTTGAGCTAGAGCCGGAGCGTCGTTCACACCATCACCCGTCATACCCACCACCTTGTCTAATGATTGCAGGTGCTTAACGATTTCAAATTTGTGCTCCGGGAAAACTTGGGCAAAACCATCTGTGTCATAGATCATCTGAGCTAGATTGAGTCCAGGAGGCGGCGCAGTGTTAAAGAATGATGTGTCAAGGATGTTGGTTGGCATTCCCAACTGACGGCACGTCTCCACAGCAATAGCCTTTTGGTCTCCCGTTACCATCTTCACTGCAACACCAAGAGCAATAGCCTTCTTCACCGTGTCTGCAGTATCATGACGAGGCGGGTCGAACAGTGGCAGAAGACCAATCATGTGCCACTCACATTCCTCGACCGGAACATCTCCACTGCGTGAGATACCAACTCCCAGACCACGGTAACCGCGCGAAGCAAACTCATTAATGCGTTCCTCAACCTCGCCACGCAACGTGTTAGCATTTATATCCATGTTCAATACAACTTGCGGGGCGCCTTTCACAGCCCGAAAGATTTCGCCCGTCCTGTTGTCCTTGACCTTCGCAATCGTGCGCTTTGTCGTTGGGTCGAATGGCGTGTAATGTAGTAGAGTGTACTCCTCCCATAACGTGTCCTTACCCGGATACGATTTGTGACACACAACGTCAATAGCTTCGTTATTCTCCAGACGTGCAGACAAGGCACCATACTTCAGAATGTCAGCAGCAGTGAAGTTGTTGTACGGAATTAAGTTGTCCATGTCGACAGAAAGTTGATTTAGCGTAAGTGTTCCTGTCTTGTCCGAGCACAAAATTTCCATTGAAGCCATCTCTTCAATACACGTGAGACGAGTTACAATAGCATTTTCTTTGGCAAGAGCTGAAGACCCAATCGCTAGTGTCACTGACAGGACCGTCGGCATAGCCACGGGAATACCACCCACGATCAGCACAAGAATGTTTGCTACACCGAGACATCCGTCTGTTTCGATTACACATGGGTTCTGCGATGATCGGCCAGCCATTTGCACCAGCAGCTCAACCACGCACCAGAATCCAATCGAAACCATACAAAAGTTACCGACAGTTGTTAGAACCATCTGCAGACGACCATGTGACTCAGCAGACGCAATTTTCTCAGCCGCGCGGCCCAGAAAGGTATCCGCTCCCGTGCTGGTCACAACTGCTTCAATTTCACCCTGTTTTACTACAGAACCTGAGTAGCCTTCGTCACCTTCGCCCTTTGACACCGGTAATGACTCGCCCGTCAGTGACGACTGATCCACTTTGATAACATCGCCCTCAAGAAATTTAAGATCAGCCGGAATTACGTCACCTAAACGCACACGCAGTACATCACCAGGTACTAACAAGTCGGCCGGAATATTTTTGATCTCGCCGTCTCGAAACACTTTTGCTTCGGGAGCTAACTGACCCATTAGTGCCGACACGGCATCGCCAGCCTGAATTTCCTCCACATATCCGATGCAAGCGTTCAGAATTAGTAAAAACAAAATCAGTGCAAAGTCAGGGTAGTCCAGTAGCACAATTGCAAGAATAGCAGCGATCTCCATAGCCCAAGACAAAGGATTCCACATAAAGCCCAAGAAAACAGTCAATTTGTTGACCTTTTCTTCTGGAAGCTTGTTCGGACCATATTCAGCCAATCGTTTCTCAGCTTCATGCGATGTCAATCCTTCTCGTGACGTCTTGAGTTTGTCCAATGCAGCATTAAGTGGCACTTGGGCCCATTGAATCTGGCCAACATCATTAATGTAGTGTTTGACATCATTGGGTGTCGCCAACGACATGTACGAATTGCCAGCAGAACTAGCCATGATACGGTGTTTTCAAGGTGTGGTGTGGTGGTCCAAGAGTCAGCGATAAATGGACCGTTACAATTTAAAGGCAACGTTCACAAGTCTGTAAAGGAAACGGACGACAATCGATTGCAAGTCGAACAATTGCAGAGTGACAATGACTCACTACCGCTGACTTTGAAGTTTGAGGTTTTTTATCGTATTACCTCATGTTGGTTTATTTGTGACTTACAAAATGTAGCAAATTGAGGTTAAGAAAGAAAACATGTGTGTTTAACACATATGCGACACATCTTATATCTTTCAGCTCAAGGGTTGTAAGGAGTCCTGGTAATGCGGTGGGAACTATATGTCATATCATCAATGATGAATCAACATTCTACTCGTAGAAGCTGTGCCCACACTTCATATCCAGATGCTCTGCTATTGTGTAAAAAATAGGACTGATGTATATATTCCAGAGATGTATTGTGGTTAGGGCATATTGATCTGCAGGATAGATTGGTGGGTTACGCCGATCGGTTAAATGTTCTCATAAGTACGCTAAGTAGGCTGTCTTTGTAAAGGCATTAAGTGATTTGATGGTAAGTCGGGTTGTAACACCAGCTTTCTGATGCAGTTTTACGTCAGAGAGAACGCAATCCTCATAATTTCTTGGCTTCTCAATCTTAGAAAATTGATGATTGTAAGAGCTGTACACTTTGAGGTTACGATCGTAGTGCAGTAATCTACTACAAAGGAGCTTGACATTATGAGCTAGAAAGTAAAAGGCGGGATAGCATATCTTGGAATCAGAACATAGATGCAAGCCGTATGACAGGCACGTATTGGGAAGCATTGAATAGCAACCCGTTCATATGGAAAGAGATGTACATAGGGAGCTGGGAATTGCACGGCATGTCGTCGAGAGCGATGCACATAAAATTGGAATTGGCGTCCGTGCTCAGATGTGGTGATTTAAAAAAGGACGTATTCATATATGCACTGCATGTACACCTGCTTTTTTTGAAGTCGCCCGCCTCATTTTGTGCTGAAATAGACATATTGAATCATATTAGGGTAAAATATAGGCATTAGTCATATTTGGTCTCAATACAGATGTAGCGGGTATACTTCTGACCAAGTGGAGACAGCACACAGAGATCGGTTTTAACATCGTAGAGATTGTGCGGAAAAAGGCACAGAGTAGACCACGATTCTCTCAAGTATTATCTACTATCCTACTCAACTTTAAAGCTAAATATTATATGAATTAATTAATATTTATACGTTTTATCATATGTGACACTCCTATATCACTTTGCGCGAAAAAGGCTTCGACTCAGAAAGTCTGCAATAAAAAGACACAGAGGATTCATTTGTATTCCCCAACAAGAAGCGGAAGTGAGAGCCCAAAGTATAGCTTGCTCTGCTCTTTCAAAATTGAATTTGAGATCAAGTCTAGACGATTGCTAAATATATACGTCTTGCCATAGTCCGTTATTATACGTGCAGCACACATCAAGTTAAAGAGGATGATAAAATGTCATTCTTATACTTTTTTTTAAGATTTAAAATTTTCAGATTTACAAGGTCCAGTGTGAAGTTCGTACGATTGTACAAAATACAACATTTGTACGTACAGTAAGGTAGGTGTATGTCACAATATTACATTTCTTCACATCTTAGTGGAGAAGATGTAATATTGTGACATACGAGGACGCCGGATATAGAATACCAAAGTGGATGAGTAATCACAACCCTGTGGTGTGACCGCCCTAACCGCTTAATGGGGTATGTGATAGCTGGGTGGGAGGAGGCTCTACTGAACGAAAAGGCCTCAGGTTACGGAACCTGGTCCAAAATGGGTCGGATAGCTACCAGCATCTCGCGCTAGAGAAAGCGTAATCCTAGCGTGTGGATGTCAGGTAGCTTAAATGTCCACTAAGATGTGGACCGCACTTGGACTCACACTTCTTATGCCTTTAACACTGTCCGCAGCAGTAAAACGTTAACGAGCAAATAGTCTAGCACAATCCATTACACATTACCGTGCCAGCTCATCGGAGCATTTTTGCACCGAAATTTCTACATTGTCCACTTCATCAAGTGAGACAGCAAGCCTCAAAAAAGGCGCTGTCCTCGCGACCGGCACTTTTAAAATTATTGCAACAAGGTTGTCGGGTACTTTGCACAACGTAAGCGCCGACCCATAGAATATGCATAAGCAAATGCGCATATGTTAAGTTTGTATGCTCCAACCAGATTTTTTAAAGCAGGAATTTTTTAAAGTAAGTGAGCCACGCCTTCTCTGCTATTGTAAACCTGCCATTGATTTGAACTTGAGTATGATCCTGACACGTAATTAGTTTTTACATTTACCATATATTATAGTGATGCGCGCCCATCAGCTCACGTGTGTCACTGACCTATTCCCATCGTTGTCATGAATATACATTTTTCGGTTCTAATGAACACTTGAGTACTATGTGACTTTCGTGCAGTTTTACACCATTGTTTTTGCACAATTGTACCAAAATTTTAATGTGTAAGTTGCATTTACCAGTTACACAATACTCGGTCAGGATGCCGAGGTGCTCCCCGATGACAACGACTTCGAGTCCTGATCCAACACCTCCGCCCGCATGAAGACATAAGATCTTGCCCCTCACTTGGGAGAGTGTGCTCACCTCGTCTTATTATGAGTGACAAACTTCGCGCTATCGGATGGTGGGGAGTGGTGCAAGACCCCGCTGAGGAACTCTCGACGATGTCTAGTTGAGCTGAAACTGGCTCAAGGAGCACGGCCTATTCACCTTGAATTGTAAGAATCACATTATCTCTTGAGCACATCATCCCGTCTTGATGCCAACTTTGAATTGTCCTAAAACGCTCGCCACGCTCTTACACTCTATGCATTCGGCCCTCTTGTTCACATTAAGAGCAAATCGATCGAGAGGAAGTTGCAGCTGAGCTGCCAGATCTCTTTTGCTTCAAGGAAGCTAAGCTAAGGTCATCGACCTTACATTCTTTACTATAACCAGTACAAGTGGAGCAGAGCGCAATCCGCTTACTCTGAGAGTAACCACAACTTAACACAAGGTAAATAAGCCCTTCCGTTCCAATGTAGTGCATTTTTGTTTTATTTGTGATAGAGCCGTCTATTTTTTCCATGAATTTTCCTAATTAAATAGCAGAACCTCATTGAAATGCATAACTACTGGCAGTCCAGCCACGTCGTGGCTTCTTGTTAAGATGTAGCCACACCATTGTGTGGTCATACCATCTTGTGTGACCCACCCCTTCATACCAGGGTTCGTGTAACCCCGTTACAGAAGTCGCCTCACGAGCACTTTCTTCTTTCAATGGTCACCCCCAGAAGCACTGTCTGCTCTTATAACAGCAATTGAGGACCTTGTTTCCTGTCAGTCACGTTCTTTGGGTAATGAATCTAAAACTTGGTACGCGCGCTGGGCGAGAATTACATGCCGTCTCTATCAGACATTAGACTTTATCATTCAGCTTCAGCGATGCAGTTGGTTCTCTAAATCGTCGCCTGGTTCTTGATTTCGCAAGGTACAGAGCACGACGCAGATGTAGAGGTGACAACCAACCACCTCATGCGCCTGCTTTAACAATGAATCATGTTAGCAAGAAGTAGAATGTCACCCTCAAGCTGGTCAAGCCGTGATGGGCTACCTGTAAACACAATTTTGCCCGGTGGTACGCCAGCTACAAAGCAGACATGGTACCAAAGCAGCTGAAATTAAAGTTTTACTGTGATATCATTCTTTCCGTTTTACCGGGAGCTATAACAGCCCTGGTGTATTTGCTGGTCCATCGAATGTTCATGTGAAAGTGATTCGCGCCATGCTTGTCAAGCAATACCTGTGCTGTTGAGTCTTCCGTGGTCTCGACTCGTATATTGAGTAGCATATCGATAATCAACTAGAGTTACGGCGTGCGTACAGGGCTGACATGAGCCAGATCACAGAAAGCTCGCTGGAATTTGCCATTTCACTGCTTCGCTTGAGGCAACCCCAGCGCTCAGTACGACGTCACCGCTCTGAAGCAGACGGTATCACAGCTACAGGGTTTGGTGGGGGCGTTTTCCTATTTGCGACAGAGCTCATTACATTCGACCAAGTTATTTAACAAAAAAAAATTAATGGTGAAGCCTCAGTTAGCCCACATAAATCACCATTCTAATTTGAATGATCAGAGTATAACTCAGTCCTTTTGTTGCTACCACAGAGAGCGGCCCGATTGTGCATGGTCGCAACTTAGATTAGTAGCCCACATACACTGCCTGTGGAAATAGATCAACTGCGTTCAATGGTATCGACTAACTTACTATCTTTTCGTGAGTGTATCGTCTGAATACATCGGTGAGTAACTTTTGAATATCTTGATATCTACAAAGAACCGCACCGCGTTCATTACACCCATTCATTGAGTATAAAATCATTGGTTTGGCTACAGAGTGAAGCAAGGTAATCCCTATCCCAATGAAATCAAATCGACTTCGTGGCAGTATCGATGGATCGCGCTACTGGACGCATACATTGATAAGAAGTGAGTGAAGTGGAATGTATTGTTTTGTCGAGCGCAAAATCAATGAACGGAAGAAACTTGCTCTAGCCCCAAATCAAAATCTCTGCGCAAGTGGTTCTGGCGATATTCGCTACCACGCGATTAAAGCTGCCGTCTGGTCTTCTATTTTCGAATGGGCAGCGGTAAAAATATTTATTTGGTGCCGAGCACATTAAAAACGTTTGCTTGAGCTTCGCAGTAGAGTGCGTATCTCTATGTGATACGATAGCTACTGGCAAGCCATGTTGGCGAGATCACCCATAACTGATGATGAGCGTAGTTTTGCTGAGTCAACCTTCGACCGTAGCATTGCATCACGACCTCCGCAATGTCATCAAACTTGAGGTCGTGTAGAAAGTCATCGTAAGCGAAATTCTCGAGCTGCGCCAGCTCTCCTATTGTCGGCAACGGTGCCGAAAAACATCTGTTCTGGTAATTTCACGACC